ATGTCTTGCTTATTAGTCTTTAAATATCAGCTTCTATATATTCCTGTGCCTATTTTGTGTGTTTCCAATACACAAAGACAAAAGCATGACATACCATGCAATTGTCGTGAATCAGAGCAGCCGCCGGCAGCCGCTTGACTCACACACCAGAGCGTTTAGATTTAGAGCTCGGCAGGATAGATGGAGTGGAATTAACCAGGCACAGACGCGTGTAGGTTACAGGAGTTTGTTTACTTACGTCGCCTAGATAGTGATGGACGACGCAGGCGAGCCTTTGTTCCATTACAGCTTCGGTTACAGAGTTGAGTATACGCATATAACTTCGGTTACAGAGTCGAGTACACGCACTCAGTTAAGTTATGATGAGATAATGACGGACGTGGCGCCGAAAACGGACAGTCGCGCTTGCAAGACTTTCTACGTCAATATTTTACGCTGACAGGGTGATCGATTGGGAATTGATCAATTTCCCAATTCTCTGGTGACAAGCACAGGTGTTTCCTGTGAGATCCCCAGAGCTCTCCGCCTTGGGCGGAAACTGTTAAACTATTTATAGGCAGAGGTGTTTTACAGGAATGCCCAATTGTGAACCGTTATATGAAATCTTTAATTTTTGGCAGGTGGCAGCTCTTTGTCTCCTCAAGTTACAAGGTAGTGGGTTAGGTTTCTCTACCTGTTACGTGTGTGCTACGTGTGAGGAGCTTACGCTTATTTTTGGACCAATTATATATAGTTTCCCGTAGCATTTTATTTCAGCTGACCAATTATCTACAGTACTCCGGCCGCGTTTTGTTTCAAGGAATTTTGGCAGGGATGTCTTTTAACCCTTAATATTCAAATGAAGATGATTTGAATGGTATCTCTTGCTCAGTGGCATGGGCACAAGTTAATTGGGTTGTGACAGCAATGTATAAAACTGTTTAGTGTTAATTAGTTAGACTAAGAATATGTTGTATGGAACAATGTATGGGCATCAACCAAGTACTTATATTAGAGCTTATAAATAGAACAAAATAGCACTGCTACCCATTTTCAGTGACCTCAACATGTGAAGGTCATCTGATAGGTAATGTAGTCAGTGGGCATAGATATTAGAGGCAACTGACTCATCCATCTAGTGGCAGTGCAATTTGCTTCGCAAAAGGGGTATAGGTTCTCTTCTGAATATATCCCTGTGGTTCTGAGTCATGGAGGAATTGAGGTTGCTATAGTACTCAGTTCCAATGCTTGTATGTGTCAGTCATGTTGTGTCAAGTTTCGTTGAAATGTCATTTTATAACTGAGTTATACTCTCTCCTCACAAGGGACATAGAGTAATAGGTTCTGGAGGTATAGTCCAATCTTCTTTAGCTAGAATAAGGATTTGCACTGGAAAAGGCTCATGAACATGAGCCAAAGTTAAAAATAAAAAACACATTTTACATTCTAAAACAAACTGGGGGAAAAATGTATTTTTGCCAAAATGAAAGTGAAGTTTGAAATAAAATGGTTAGTAATGATCAGAAAGTTGGAGGAAACAGAGCAATTGTGCTGGTTCTCTATTTTCTAAGCAGATTTTTCTCCCTGATAGCCATGGTTCTTAATTTTATGCTTGACTTCATGTATAGGCTAGACTTTCTTTCATCACTAGTGCAAGTAGCTCACTGAATAAAATAAAGAAACAAGTGGTAGTAACAGCATTTTAAAAACTTTTCTGGAGTATTAACAAGTGAAAATCAAAATTCTCCCCTTTCTATAGTTCACTTCAAACCTTAAGAAAAGCCCTTTGCAGGGTGTCAGTAGGGTGTGCACACTCTTCATAAGTGTGTATTTCCCCCCGCCCGCCATTTTCCCCTTCAAGGCTAAGTACAGACAGTAAAAAAGCCTGAGGTTAAATTGATTCAGTCTTTGCAGGTTAGCTTAAACTGCAGAGATTCAACTTAGAAACAACTGGACGGACATTCTCTTTTGATTCAGGAAATGCAGCCATATGCCTGCAGTGGCTCAAGTCAGAAACTGGGAGTGCTAGAGCATGGCTCTCTAGTACATAGCTGGCATGAGCTGTGTGTTCAGTTTCTCTTCCTGCTGCCCACAAGGTCCCTGGCATTTGCAGTCCAGTACCATAGCAGCAGGACTCTGCAGATTTGCTCATCACTTCCTGTTCCTGCTTCCAGGTGCTTCTGGGATTTGTAGTTCACAGTCATAGCCAGAGCTAAGTTTCAGTAAGTTTAGCAGGGCAGGGCAGCTCTGTACTTGGGGGAAGGGAGGTTTAACTGGGAGAATGGGGATTTAACCCCTCTCTCTGGCCCCAGATCCCAGCCAGGGTAGGCGCAGCTGGTGAACTTGGAGACAAGTGGGGTGGGTGGCATAGGCAGAGGGAGGGATCTGAACATGTGCATGCACCCCCCACCCAGGAAAGTTTGCAGAAGGAGGGGGAACAGCCCGGGGGCATGGAGAATGGAGTTGGGACTGACCAGGGATCAAAGCAGAGCCAGGGCTGGGATCAGGACTGGGGCCCAATGAATTCATCCCTTCCCCTATACCCAAAGCTGTTGCCCAGCACTGGGAGTCTCTGTCAACTTGCAGCCCTGCACTGGCCCCAGCCCTGCACTGCCCGGGGAAGGGAGGCCAGAACGGGGCCAGCCTCAGATGCAAGGCTGAGCTGGAGGGGCTGGAGCCTGTGGGACCCCCATGCCCACCCCACACTGTCCCTGGGAAGAGCCCGGCAGCTCCTCCAGGGGTGTGGTGCTGGGCAACCAAGGGGCATGATTGGGCTACAGCTGTGATCTGTGCTCTGCCTGCTCCATGCCTCGCTGCTGCCTTTGAAAGTGGCATAGCACAATGCCGTATGAGTCCCACTGCTGGGCAGGCCAGGCAGTGAGTCTGCATCACACTGCTTTCAAAGGCAGCAGCAAGGCATGGAGCAAGCAGAGCACAGATCACAGCTGTAGCCCACCTCAATCCCCCTCTCCCCCCACTTACCTGCTGGAGCTACTCTGCAGGCTGCTTGCATATACTCTGCATATGGCGTCCCCTGTCTTCTGCCTTCCTCCTAACAGCTCTTCATCCAGGCTGGGGCATCAGTACAGGAGCCTGGCTGCCTGCTTAAACAAGTGGTTATTGCAATACATTCTAACTGTTGAAGTGTTTCGACTGCACATTCGCCATTGGGGTGGTAAGGAGATTGCCCCAAGGTGCCTTACTGTGCATATGCATAGTTGGCTGAACCAGCCTGCATAATCATGACATGATTGATCATGTCTTTTGAAACTGATGGGGTGGCACCCAACCGTCACCTATTGACCAGCCACCACTGAGCTAGGGCTTGCTGGAGGGGAGGGGGGAGGTCAGTCTACTGTGCTGGAGTAGACAACACAACTCTGCCTAGGGCTGGAAAGCATGTTAGAGGACTCTGATTTAACTTAAACCAGGAAGGAGTCCGGGGCAGGAGTTTCAGAAACTGGTTTGACCGAAATCAGTTGAGTCTGATATTGCATTCAACCAGGTTTATCTTAACCCAATTTCAGCCATTTTGAAACTGGTTTATGTGCAGTGAACTGTTCTGTTACAGGTTTAAACCAGTTTCTGATCACTTAAACTGGTTTATTTGTAACTAGTCCAAGAGATCAGTCCTCCTCTTTTATGGTTGTCAATTGGGGGTATGGTCCTCAAATGTATCCACTCTCATTTTGTGTATAGACTCATAGAAGGCTGAGTATCTTTAGTAAAAATAATAGGACACCCACAAACTTGGTCAATATTGCCAGCCTCAACCTTTCAGCAGCCAGTTTTGTTGGTGTTAAAATAGCTGTTCTAAACTTAGAAGATATAGAAATAAAAAAACTGGAGACATCAATACAACTGTAAAGAATCACTACTAATTGACAGGGCAAATAATTATTCATTAGAAATACATATTTCTCTCTTCAGTACTGACCTGACAGTAATTAAAACATTGCTAAAGCATTTAGGATTTTCTTTAAGGCAAGTGAACAATCTTGAATTCTTCTTTCCTCAAATTTTAATGCCAGTTGGATAGATAGATTTCATGATAGGAGATTGCATCTAGGGAATGTTCTTGAACACCAGAAAGGGATTTAGATCTTTAGGCCAGCTCTCAAATGGTAATGCTTTATGTAATTTTACTTTTTCTTTTTTTCCTCCCTAAACAAGAATTATGCCAGCAAAGCATAGTCAGGAATAGGCTTGCTTACATTTTCTTGCATTATAATGCAGTCTTCTTTTGGCTAAAACTAAAACAGGTATCGATTCTCAATTTATATTTTGCGAATTTAAACGGAGAATGAACACCCATCCTGTATAGTAATTGAACTGGAAAGGAATTTAACATCCAAAATATTGATTTGCATTTGCTTGCTTATACACCATTGATTGTGAACTGTAGTTAAGTTGCTTTCACCGAAACACTGTAGTTTCTTTCTATGTGAATTTGAGACTTGCATGCTAATAATTGTTCAACAATGATTTCATGTCGCTTCCGTATCAAACATACATAAAATTGGCCAAAACAAGGAAACCTGAGTTTTATCATCTAAGCAGTACTTAACATAGACTTTTTTGAGCTAGTAATTGGATTTCATATGATTGCGCTTCAATATACATAGGAAAATATAAAGCATGTGCCCAAGTCAAAACTTCATGCTGCTCTATCTAAAAAGGAATATCAGGTGTCAGTATCTTTATCTGTAAATAGTAGTTAGTGAGCTGTGGACCATTTATCAGGTCTGTCTTTGAAATTAGGATAGAACTTGGTGCATATAAAGAATCAGGGAATGTATTATATTACACTGTGGTAAGCTGATAACGCATTGATTTTAAAAAACTGTTCCAGGGCCAGTACTGATACAGTATATAAAATAAAACATAAAATAAACATTCTGGAACATGCTTCCTCAAATAGGAGGTCAATTCAGATATTTCTTCAGTGTTCTCTTCTGGTTACAATTTCCAGTAAGCAGTATTCATTGGATTAACCTGAACATGATGCTTTTCTCTGACAGACAATTGTGATGATCAGCTGGTGTCTGCCTTGCCTCAGTCATCATTCAGCAGTTCATCAGAGCTGTCTAGCAGTCATAGTCCTGGATTTGCAAGGCTTAATAGAAGAGATGGTGAGTCTTTTTATCTGTTGATTTGTGCTAAATGTTCTCAATTTTTCCAAAGGCATTTGTTACTTAGAAAAAAATAAGTAGGAAAAAAATAAGAGATCAGTGAGCAGTTTGTGTGGTATCTGCACAGAATGTTGAAATCATAATTTGTGAAAATATACGTGCTCCAAAAGAGTTCTTTTGAAGGAGTGAGTCGCACACATCCACCAAAACCTCAGTAGATGTTAATGACAAACTACAACTAATGATAATTTGGGCCACACATTAAGGTCAGAAGAGGACATGATTGAACTGAATTTGGTGCACTGTTATGCTTATTTAACTGATGCAAAAAATATAGATATGCAGTTGGTTACTGAACTCTCTCCTCTCTCCTTTTAATTTTTCAAGGCAACTTTTTCTCAATCTTTGTACTAGATCATGATGGTAGATTACACCTGCAACACTAAACTTGGACTAAGGATTTCCTTTTCAGCCCTATAGGAGTTATGTCAACATTAGGTACTGATGCATGGAAATAAATAAAGCATATCATCGGCTTACTCTCTTAAGAGAGCTGATGAAGAAGGAATGATTAGGGTAGCGAAACCAGTTTATGTTGGCCAGGTCATTGTCATCACAGGCTAGCAGTAAATTTAGGATCTATAGTAATGCAGTATTATTACAGACATCAAGAAAAACTCTGCTTATTAAGACATCAAATGCATTTAATTCTGCTGGTATATTTATTGTATAAATTAAATATTTATATATTAAATATATGTGTATAATGTTCTAAAATATGAAATGTTAGAAGATGTTTACATAATGATGAGTATGGTGAAATAAGTAGTAATAATACTTTCTGTTTCCAAAGAGCTTTCTATCTGTTTTTTTTTAATGGTACAGTACATTGGAACTCATGCTTTACTCTAGCTTGGGACTATTTATAGTGAAGTAGAATGTAGGTCCCAAATTGCTTTATTACAACAACATGGACTTTGCAAATATGATTAGTGTGAACCTCTGCTTAAGTGAGCCTGATATATTAAAAGGATTTCATTATAAAAGAGGTCAACTGTATTCTAAAGTGTTCATAAGGACACTTACCTTAGGACCTCACATTATGTTTGCTCTTGATCAGATTGGAGGATTGTCTCAATAAAATGCACTCCTAAGAAATTTAATTCATTTTGCTCTATTGCTTGTACTACAAAAATTATCAGTGTCATATTAGAGATATATTTTCAGTTGCTTTCCCCTTCCTCCTTATGTGTTCAGGCACTCACAATGATCATAGCTTTACCTCTGACATCTTTCTGTTATATGTACATCCATATCCAAACCAGTGGGTTGTCTAATTAGAGAATTGCTATCTCCGTGCCTGTTCATTCTTTACACCTGAGGGTCACAGTACCCAGCAGGATGCAGATCTGAATCTCTTACTCAGAATGTCTTATCTGAATGTCTCTAACATGCTCAAACATTTTGTTTTTTTAGTAGTTCATGACCAGACCACTTAGTTAGCCACTTTTCCCTGGCATGGTTCAACTCTTCCAACAGATGGAGAAAAAAGCAATGAAGATGCCCTCTACCCTTCAGTAGATTATCCTTAATTTGTATTTCCTTTGTAAGCACTAGAATCTCTCAGTGGTAGAGCTGTGGCAATCATAAACAATTTCTCTTATCAACATGTTCAGAATTTCTGAAGCTGAATTTGATTTCCTTTTGTGCCTTTGGTGAAAAGTTGTGCAACCAGAGTCCATGTATTTCAACATATAAGAAGAGTTCTTCATGTGAATATAAGTATATCCTCATGAGTGTGTGGTTTTGTAGATAAGCAAGTATTTTCACTTGAGAAATGTTTGCCAAGCTAACCTATATAGACTGAAAAAAAAAACTATATTTTTCATAGGGAATTTAAACACAGTTTGGGAGCATTATGCTTGTGATCTCCTTCTGACAATGGTAAAACAGTATTGGAATTATAATTCTAATGTAGATTTTAATTTTCTGTCATAAAAACTATTTTATCCTGCATGAGGTAACTCTTATTTTGGACATTATCATGAATGATAAAAAATAATTAATTTCTAGTCTGGAAGTTGATAGTTGCCAAGGGACCAGTGATCATGACCTGCCTACGCTAAATATGGACACTCAGAGGACAGTCCTAACCAATGGGTGGTTCAAAAGTACAAAGCTAGTGAAAAATATGAGCAAAGTTGACCGAGATGAAAAAGACACCTCGTTAAACAAAAGAAATAATTTTTTAAAGAATAGTTTATAAAATGGTCAGGATTACTCCATCAAGAAAAAAGAAAGAAATGGATAAAAGTCCATCTTGTTTCAGTGGTAAAGTCAATACAACAATTACAATGAAATGAAATTAAAATAAAACATTAAAAATGGAAGGGTACAGCTGTGGAACAAATACATAGAAACCAATGTAAATTAGAAGTATTCAATTGCAGAAAATCAATAAGGGAACCTAAATACATCAGGGTAATATCATGGATGCCAGGGTGAGGTGCAACAAGCAGTTATAAGTATATTAAGAAACAAAAGAAATTCCAGCAATGGGATCGATCCATTAAGAAACGGAGATGGTGAAAACGTTAAAATGAAGCAGAAAAGGATATGCAGTGGATATTTCTGTTGTGTGTAGCTAGGAACAGAAGTTACACATAAACCATAAGTGATCATTAACTGGTTTAAACCTATAACAGAATTCAAGTTCAGTGCATACAAACCAGTTTCAAAATGGCCAAAACTGGTTTAAGATAAACCTGACTGAATGTAATATCAAACATAACTAATTTGTGTCAAACCAGTTTATACAACTTCTGTCCCAGATCCCTTTCTGATTTCAGTTAAATCAGAGTCCCGCAGTGGGCTGTGGGCTGCATTTTGGGCTCGGGCCATGAGGGCTGCACAGCTCCCTATGCCCAAGCTGGACAGGGCTGTCATGAAGCTCCAGCCAGCTGGGTAGGGCCCGGCAGAGTGGCCCATGGGGGCAGGGCACTTCCCAGCCCTCTGTGTGACAGCCGGCTCAGCAGCACAGGTGGGAGCTGGCTGGGGAGTGGGCTTTCTGGGCCAGCTCAGAGGTGCCAGCGGGCCCCAAGACTGAAAGCTGCCACTGCCGCATCCCCTGCCCTGTGTAGTACCTGGGGCTGCAGGTGCACAACCAGCAGTGGGCTGGCTGGAGCCTGGGGTGCTATTCTGACCCCTTCACCTTCAGCTGCTGCAGCCATGCCACTGCAGTCTGGGTGGTGGGGGCAGGAAGCTTCAGCCTCGTGACTTCTGCCCAGTGTGTGGTGCTCCATGCCAGCTCCCAAACACCTTGGAAGGTGGAAGGCGTCCGGGGGGAAGGCTTCCAGGGACTGCAGCCAGAGCTCCATGGCAGGGCAGAAGCCACAAGACTGAAGCTCCATCTGCCTCATCCTCCACCCCCCAACCCCCCAAACCACCTCCCGGAGCAGTGCAGCAGAGGGAGAGTAGCCACTGGAGGTGAGGGGAAGCTGGCTTGGTCCAGCAAGGCTGTTTTTTTCCTCTTACCTGCAGCTGTGTCTCCTGTTCCTGATGCACCATGCAACATCACTCAGGGCTAGGGGAGCTTTCTTCAGCCTGGGTGCTTCAGCACAGCTCAGGTTGAAGCCACCAAGCTGAAGGATGCTCCCCCAGCCTGAGCAGGACTGTGCAATGTGACAGGAGCAGGAGCTGCTGTTGGAGGCGAGGGGAGAAAAACATACCTGGAAGGCTAAGCCAGCTTCCCCTTGCCTCCAGCGGTTACTCCCCCTCCCATTTCTGCCACTGTTGCACTGCTCCAGAAGGTAGCGGGGGCGGGGGGGGTAGGGGAAGCTTCAGCCCGGTGGCTTCTGTGCCATGCATGGAGCTCTGGCTGCAACCCTGGATGCTTTCCACCCATACACCTTCTGCCTTCCAAGGCATCAAGGAGCTGGAGCTCTATGTGCTGGGCAGAAGCCATAGGGCTGAAGCTTCCCACCCAGAATGATGAGGCACGGCTGCGGTAGTGGCACCTGGAGGCAAGGGGGAGGCAGAATAGCCCCCCCTAGCCCTGGCTAGCCCATTGCTCTTTGTGCACCTGCAGCCGTAGGTGCTGCACAGGGCAGGGAGCATGGCAGCGGTGGCTGCTGGGTTTGGGGCTCACTGATGCCTCCAACCTGACCTGGGAAACCCACTCCCCAGCCAGCCCCCATCTGTGCTGCTGGGCTAGGCTGTCACGCAGCCGCAGCGGGCTGGGAAGGGCCCTTCATGACAGCCCCACCTAGTTTGTGTGCAGGGAGCCGAGAGCAATCTGCTACTGTGCAGCCCCCATGGCCCCAGCCCAGACTGCCCCTCTGCCTCTACCCTCAGCAACACCTGCAGGCTGGCTGGGCTCAGCCCTGCAGGCTCAGTTGCAGCCACAGCCCCAGCCCTGGGTGGATAGTAGGGCCATGCTGGCCAGCTCTGCCCCTCTTTTCCTGAGGCATTGCCCTGGCTGGAGTCTGGTCTTGGGGACAAGCCTGGCAAGGGCTGTTGGGGTCCCTACAGGCCAGGGTGGGGATTTAAACCCCTCTACAACCATAGTTAGTTCCTATTGGGGCCTGGCCATGCCCTCTCCAGGTGGTCAGCTTCTCTCCCACCTTGCAGCTGCTGCAAATAGAAGGGAGGGCTGCTCTAGTGCCCCCCAGCTTCTAACCTGAGCCACTGCAGGCATGTGCCTGCATTTCCAGAATTAAATGTGAATGTCTGTACCCTTGAAAATCAGTTCAAGTTTTGCAGGTTAGACTAACCAGCAAAGATTGAATCAATTCATGCTCCAGCTTTTTGAATGTCTGTCCCTAGCCCAAATGGAAGGAAGCAGGATAATGTATTTGCATCTCATAAGGATGATGAAGAATAATGACAAAAAACATCAATCTAGTACATACAGGATTGTAAGCCTACAGAGTAGAAGTCTGTCCAGTGATGTTAATATTTAATACAGCCTCAACTATCAGAAAAAAAATTCCAGAAAACTA